CGTCTGCCCAAAGCCCATTTTCCTTCTCCAATCTTGTCTTGAGATCCCACAAGATCGCTTGAATTGTTACCTCTGCCTGCCCATGTGCTTAGGGGTATGCTACGGACTTGAGCCTGTGGTCTATGTGATAACTAGAGCAGAAAGCCTTAAAGCCATGGTTGTCAAACTATCTTCCATTGTCGGTAATGAGGATTTATAGTATGCCAAATCTACATATTATATTTTTCCACATGAAGCTCTATAGTTTTGCTGTCGTAATGGTTACCAGCAAGAATTTTCTCTGTCCCTTGGCTATATAGGTAAAGGCCCTAAAATATCCATCATCCACTGGAAGAAAGGGCTTACTCCAAAAATGGCTGATTGTTGCTCGGCGAGTACATGGATTAAATTACCATGATGCTGACATGCATCGCACTTCCTCACAAATTCCTTAGCGTCCTCCTTCATCATGGGTTAGTTGTATCTCTATCGCAAAGCTTTGAAGGCAAGGTGGTTGCTCCTTGGTGATTACCACAAATCCTCGAGTGTATTTCAAGTAAGACTTCATGAACCTCAGTTATACGCAAGCACTTTAGGTATGGCATGGTAAATCATCATTTGTATAGCTGCCCGTCGATCATGGCGAATGATGCTACCATATTTTCAGCCTCCTGTGCATCATTTGGCAATTTAATCTTTGTTAGGTAATCTACCAATGGGTCTAACCAACTTTTTCCCTGTTGTGGATTCGTCGTGCTCTCTATAAGCAATATGCTAGGCTGTCGCAAGACTTGTACATTCTCAGTGCTAGGTAGATTTCTCGTATTCGCCGATGCTAGCTTAGACAGGGCGTCTGCCCGCTCATTTTCTCTTCGAGGGACCTTGGTTATCTTGCAACTTGTAAATCCCATTTGCAAGTCTCTAACCGTCATCAAATAGGATGCCATCTTCCATCCCTTGCCTCGAATTCACCTGTCACCTGTCCGACGATTAATTGGGAGTCACTGCAGATTTCAACTGATGTTATTCCAAGTCGGGCTGCCAAACTCAAACCATGATGACTGCCTTATACTCAGTGTCATTATTTGTTGCTGGGAACTCAAAGCGTAATGAATACTCCAACTCTTAAGATTCATGTCCTTTCATAATGATACCTGTTCCGGACCCCTCAACATGTGAGGATGCATCCACAAAAATTTTCCACACTGCTTCTGCTTGTAGGGGTAGTCAGGTGGAGTTGTTAGCTCTGCAATAAAGTCTGCCAACGCTTGCACCGTGGTGGCCATTCTTGGCCTAAACTCAATGTCGAACTCACTCAGCTCGATTGCCCATTTCAACATCTTACCCGAGGTCTCAGGGCGATGCAAAATTTGATTGACAGGTTGATCGGTCATGACCTGTATAGTATGGGATTGGAAGTACGGTCTTAATTTTTTGACTGCTACAATTAGCTCGAATACCAACTGCTGTGTGAGGCTATAT